CACAGGCTGCATGGTTGTGAAGAAGCTATTACATGAACCACATTCGTATTTTGTAGTCTATTCTCCTATACACTTTCATAGCTCAGGGTACTCAGTTTGAGGGAGAGTGGTTCCAAGAGATATTTGTTGTCCTCTGATATGGATGCGGCCATACTTGAATACGAAACTATGGCTCCACAGGTATAATGTAAAAAAATCCAATTCAATAAAATGATATAACTTATATTAATTAAAAAAAATTAATTTCAGTGAAAAATTATTCAGATAGTGTTTGTTATTTTTTGTTTAACAAAAATCTTGGCAATTCGAAACTATTTCTTTATTAGCTCTGCATGACACTTTTTAAAAGGCGAAAAATTTGAAACGCGCGAGACGTTGGAAAGTGAATCGGTAGAGTGGGAGGATTATTAGCGTAGTCATTCTTTGTCAACCTTTGAAGAAAATAACAGAATACGAAGAAGGAATATCCAGAGGATCAATTTACTTCATAACTGCAGATATTAGTGGTGAGTTACAAAACAAGAGGCCCATGGGCCTTATAGGTCACCTGAGCATTATGCAACAACTTTCCAGTGATTAAATTTAATTCATCATAACAATACACTTAGCAGTTGCTTAGTTTGTTTACTTAATACCCATAAACAAGGTAGGGGAACAAAAAATGCATTTCAACTAATCAGTTATATTCAGCAATAATCAGTAGTGCCCCTACCACACATGAACCCCTGACCCTTAGGCCTTGATATTTGATTAATACCAAGGAGCAGATTTCAAACCATTCATTCATTTTCAGTATACAAGTACACCCCCCCAATATTACCCCTGACCCTGGGGCCTTGAAATTCACAATTCTGGAAGATTAGGGCCCTGGTAGATAATAACTATATAGGTAGTTCATCTGCTTAATACCCTAGAGCAGAGAAGAAAATTTTTAAAGATTTAATGAATTTTCACTATATAATCGATAGAGCCCCGCCCTAACACCAAAACCCCTGACCCTGGGGCCATAAAATTCATAATTTTGGTAGAGGCACTTTTGCTCATCATAGCTATGCACTTAGTTAGTTTATTTAATACCCAGGAGCAGAGAAGAAGATTTTCAAAGAATTCATGTATTTTAACTACATAATCTATAGAGCCCCGCCCTAGCACTAGAACCCCTGACCCTGGGGCCATAAAATTCACAATTTTGGTAGAGGCACTCTTGCTCATCATAACTATGCACTTAGTTAGTTTATTTAATACCCAGGAGCAGAGAAGAAGATTTTCAAAGAATTCATGTATTTTCACTATATAATCAATAGAGCCCCCCCCCCCCCCTAATACTAGAACCCCTAATCCTGGGGCCATAAAATTCACAATTTTGGTAGAGGCACTCTTGCTCACCATAACTAGGCACTTAGTTAGTTTATTTAATACCCAGGAGCAGAGAAGAAGATTTTCAAAGAATTCATGTATTTTCACTATATAATCAATAGAGCCCCACCCTAACACCAGAACCCCTGACCCTGGGGCCATAAAATTCACAATTTTGGAAGCGGCACTATTGCTCATCATAACTATTACTTAGTTTGTTTATTTAATACCCAGAAGCAGAGAAGAAAATTTTCAAAGAAATAATGCATTTTCACTACCTACTTATTTAGCCCCGCTCTAGCACTAGAACCCCTGACCCCAGGGCCATGAATTTCACAATTTTGGTAGAGGACTCATTGCTGATTACAATCATGCAAACAGTTTGACTGCTTGATGCCCAGGAGTAAAGAAGAAGATTTTTAAAGATTGCATTAATTTTAGTGGTTTTGGCCCCACCCCTCAGGCCCCTGGGGGCAGGGATCATGAAATTCACAATTTTTGTTCCCCTTCACCCATAGATGCTTTGTGCCAAATTTGGTTGAAATTGGTTCAGTGGTTGCAGAGAAGAAGCTGAAAATGTTCAAATGTTAACGCACAACGCACGACGCACAACGCACGACGACGGACGAAAACGGATAGCAATAGGTCACCTGAGTTTACTCAGGTGACCTAAAAATGGAGGCAATCGCTGAATCTGTGAGATATTTGTCAAGATGTTACTGTCTATTTGTAAGAGTTCAGTTATGTCCTTTTTAATGAAAATTTTGTCAAACTTTGTTATGAGTAAGAAATTACGTTACATTTAATAATTAAAGATTGAAACATTCATCCTGTTCACCTATAACATCTTGAACATGGCAGGCAAGGGAAACAGGCTAAACTCCCGCTCGGAATGCTTTAAAATATGGCAGTGCCTATGATGCAGAATTAAATGAAACAAATATGCAAGTCTTAAGTTTTCACATTTATGAGCACTTTCAGAAAATCTTTGTTCTTGTAGGGAAAAGAGAAGCAGTTCACAGATAATGTTGATGAGTTGAGATCAGAAGATTAAAAAACTCTGGCTGCCAAAAAAAAGAATATAAAAAATCCAGGCTCTTGAAGAAAAACAAAAGAAAGGAATGAAAATATGAATCGTAATCGATCAAAGGATCCAAGTGATGAAATTCTGAAAATTCCACAGGGAAAGCCAATAAGATTTTTTTATTTGACCACCTCTGCTCAAAATCCTTGAAAGCCCTTTTAGCTGATGCCCTAATTGCTGAACACACTTTTCTGCCAGACAGTGAGACTTGGATTAAAAATCATTCCATTTTAGGCATACACTTTGAAATACACTGAATAAGGAACCCACTCTCCTCTTGACCAAGTAAGGTTAAGGATTCTGCAAAGAGTCGCGTTTGAATTGAAACTTTTTATAATTTATTAGGAATGAACTACATAATTTATATATTTATTATTGTTATCACTTATCAGAGTTGTTTACTTGAACAAAGATTTTGTTACCATGATTGGAAAACAAAAATTCTGTGAAATCTTTCAAGATGCTATTAAAATATTTTCTTTTACAGTTTTTCATTTTGCATAACTTATTACATTTTTGTTTACTAAAAGCAAGAACATTCATGAATAGTTCATGAACATTCCTAAATAACTTTTACAAATTATTCATGAATAGTTCATGAAAATGCATTGAACCTATTAATATCATTCATGAACTTTTCTTGAAAGTTCATGAATATAATTCATGAACTTTTCTTGAAAGTTCAAGAATTATTCTTGATCATTTTGCAGGCATTTAAAAAATCCAAGTTTGTTCATGAACAACAAATAATTCTTGAATATTCTTGAACTTGGTTTTCATGAATAAAATCCATGAAATCATGAGTGTCAAATTTTAACTTCATGGGATCTTCATGAACAATTCATGAGCTGATTCAAGAATACAATTCATGAACTTTTCTTAAAAGTTCAAGAATTATTCTTGATCATTTCGCAGGGGTTTCTTTGAAACTTAATTAGCTTTGAACAGAGCTAAACGCAAAGTGTGACGGAAGGACAGAAGGATGGAAGGACGGAAGACAGACATGAAAAACACTATATGCCCCGTTCACATTCATGGCGGGGCATAAAAACACTAGGAGAAATAATGTATGAAAAATTAAAAAAGGAATACCCATGGGTACAAATTGCGCCTCGTCTCGTTATTAGCAGACCTATTTTATTCATATCAAGCAAAATCTGTGCAAACTCTTATGCATGAAATGAAGAAAACACTTGTTGTGGCCTTCAACTCGACATTTAGATATGTTGACCAGGTTTTTTCAATATACAATGGTTATTTTCATTCTTATTTCGATTTGATATATCCTAGTAAGCTTGAAAAAAAGGATACCACAGAGTCGGGCACATCTGTTTCATATTTGGATATTTTACTTGAAAAACACCTTAATGGTAATCTAACAGCCAAGCTCTATGATAAACGTTATGACTTAACTTTTCTATCGTCATCTACCCATACTTACACCGCTATATTTTATCTTCATCACCCGCATATGGAGTATATATATCTAAGTTGATTCGATACGCAATGTCGAAAGAGCCACCCTTACTCATCAAAACTATGTACATAGTTCATTGGTTTAATACCCAGGAGCAGAGAACAAGATTTTCAAAGAATTAATGAATTTTCACTATACAATCAAAAGAGCACCGCCCTAACACCACAGCCCCTGACCCTTGGGCCATAAAATCCAAAATTTTGCAAGATGCACTCTTGTTTATCATAATTATACTTAGTTCATTTGTTTAATACTGAGCAGCAAAGGAGAAGATTTTCTCCGAGTTAATGTATTTTTACTATATAATCAATAGAGCCCCGCTCTAATGCCAGAACCCCTGATCCAGTGGGGCCATGAAATTCACAATTTTCGAAGAAGCACTCTTGGTCATCATAACTATATTATTGGGTAGTTTGTTTAATACCCAGGAGGAGAGGAGAAGATTGTCAAAGAAATAATGCACTGTTACGATATGATCTATATAGCCCTACCCTAACACCAGAACCCCTGACCCAGGGGCCATGAATTTCAAAATATTGGTAGAGGACTCTAAGCTGATTACATTCATGTCAACAGTTTGACTACTTGATGTTCAGGAATAAAAAAGAAGATTTTTAATTATTGCATTAATTTTGGTGATTTTTGCACCACCCCTCAGGCCCCAGGGGGGCAGGGAGCATGAAATTCAATTTTTTTGTTCCCCTTCACCCATGGAGGCTGCGTACCAAATTTGGTTGAAATTGGTTCAGTGGTTCCAGAGAAAAAGTTAAAATTGTTCAAAAGTTTACGACCAACGTAGGATGACGGACGAAAACAGATAGCAATAGGTCACCTAAGTTCAATCAAGTGACCTAAAAATGGAAATCAATAAATGAAGAGTTAGCAATTTGTTTGAAAAATCAATATATTCTTTATAAAGAAGTTTTCAATCAGTCACACAATAACATACATATAATGACATTATGTAAATTATTGATGTTGTATAAATTATATTCATTATGCCATATCGCTTACTGTTAATTTATGGACTTCTTAAATAGTAAACTAAAACAAATCAATAGTTTAATAGAATTGAAAACTTACCATCTTGTCCAATTTTGTCTGACTTTTGCTTTTTCCCTAATAAGAAAAGGTACCCTCTGCTATAAATTCGCTAAGAAAATTTAAAATTTCTAATATTGATTTTCATGAACAACAAAAACATAAGACACATGGAAAATATATGTAGTTCGAATGATGTCTTATTTCAATATCACTTGGCACACCTGTAGACTACACTGAAATACATTAAGCAGATGCTCTAACAATTGCGCCACGCAGGCGACAAGTTGATTTGGAATCAGACTTTAACTGTAGGAGGCGTACCATTTTGAAATTATTCAACAGATATTTCAGGTTTAGTTACCACAACAGAAAGAAGATGGGCGCATTTGGCGAGTGATCTGCAGGAATTATTTGTACGAAAATTTATGGTTTAAATGTCCATGATTTGGTTGGCTGAACATAGCTGGTCAGATTTTACAAACACGTCCAGAGGTTTTTTTTCATTTAGTTTGAAAGACATTGTAAAATTGTAACATTTATGTCCATTTTTCCTAGGGGGTACTATAATATAGTAATGTTTCACAAAAAATAAACACCTAAAATATTTAATGTATTGATGCATGCTACGTGTACATGTACATTATAGAATAGAATATTAAAATTGATTTCACTCGAGATCCAAACTGAAACAAAAGAGGGTGTTGCAGTTCTTTTGTTATTTTCCCTAAATGTGTAGCAGATTAAAAGAATTTTTACGTCGCAGAAACTCATATTAATTTTTTTCAAATGCAACAATATATAAAGCACAACGAGAAACAATATTTGGAAGGTGTGTATTGACTTCCAATTTGCCAATAAATGATGTGAAAATTTTGGCTAACGGCAAAATATATCAGATTTTCCGTTTTTGACTCACACAAATTGTTCCCACGAAAATAGTTCCACCATTAATAAGTAGATACAACATAATTGTTCATGATAAGAATAATGTTGTGTATGTCATACGTAAAAGAAACCAAAATTAATGTAAATTTTTCCTCCAAAGATCACTTTCCCCCCTAAATACAAATAAAAAATGTTAATATTCCTATGCTCGCTCCCTCCTAAGCTTTTTTTTTAAACATGTTTGATAACAGAGAATATCTAGGTCATTCTTCGGTTGATATTTTTTCACCTATGAATTGATTATACTACATGTATATCAACAACTGTAGTAGAATCATGTTAATTGTTTGTTAATCATCATATAGTTTCGTCTTAGAGAAAAAAATAATCGTTCTGTGTGTTTAGTATATTAAATGACGGAATTTTCACTCCCTGAGCAGATTCCTGCACGTGTGTAGACAAACTACATATGGGAGAGTACTAGCTATAAAATGTGTAACAAAACCCGAACTGGGCCGGGGATTTCTAAACTGACAAGCGTTTAATTTTTATTAATAAGAATTTGTATTCATGTGATCTTATTTTGAAAAAAATTCTGTCTGCCATCGTAACTTCTCTGTTCGCGGGAGTCTGTTTGACAACTCCATCGCACGTGTGTAGACCAAGGCTAACTGGTCTTGCGGACACAGGTATGTGTACTGTTTGTTAGGTGACTGGGTGGCCGTAATGCTGCGGACTCACGAAATTTACACAAGTTTTTTATAACTAGACATGCAGTGCAGTTTATTTTTTATAAAAATCATTAAACACTCTTAAACATATTAAATCTAAAAGTCGAATATCTTTGGATATGGGGTAACCCATATCTAATCTTGTTTCCATATGTAATGGCAGTGCAATGAAATTATATATATTTTGAAAGAGAGGTGGTAGAGGGATGTCAAGAAGTTAATTGAGTAATAACTATATATTAAAAATACAGGATTAATTAAATTGTTTTCCTTGATATGCTTTGACTTAAAACTAATGCTTTATTTCGTTTTGTCTTGGAAAAATTAATTTACTGTATTGTTTAAATTTTTTTTTACATACTGTAGTTATTGCAATTTTGGTCTCTTAGCTAATAGCTAAGATTTGATTTGAAACAATTAAAATGTCTTGGACATAAAACCAACATTTTGATTATGGTACGAAGTTTTATTTCATGATAAATATTTTCGCACAATGTCTACAGTATATCTTTCAGAATGCTTCTTTAGCCATTGTGCTTTTTGTTGTTCCAACCTTTTTCGTGCAAAATGACGAAAGTGTTTTGCTGTATTAAGCAGGAAATACCCTCCATAAACATAGTCCTCTACGTAGCTGTATCCATATTTAGACATAACGAGGGTATTTAAATGTCCTTCTCGATATATAGGGAATAATCGCGAGTTTCTGCAAAACTCTCTTTATCTGATTCAAAATTTTAATACATCAGTACATAAAACGGAACTGACAAAATAAATGGTTGTTTGCATGGAAAAAAAAATTAACGCCCCATGCCAGGATCGAACCAAAAACGTTTCACTTTGAGTACACTGAACAGGTAGCCCAACTTACTGCGCTATTACCACTTCACATATATAATTGATTTAAAAAGGACAGAGAAGCACCACATTCACACATTTGGATTTTTGGGGGAAAAGTTCATTTTTCATGGTCTCTGGGTCTTCTCTCCATTTTTTGAAAAAAGTGTATTCGTTTCTTTGAATTAAAATACACACAAATAACGTTTCAAAATCATGGAGAGAAGACCCATAAAAGAAAATATTTAGAAAAAACGTGTTTAAAAATGTACAATTTTGTACCAAATGTCTGATCTGACCAATTTTCAAGTTATTTTTTTTTTAGCAAATCAAAGCTCAATTTCGAGAAAATATTTTCCTTTCCTGTTGCACAAGAACCCGATAAATAAAAAAAGATTAAGATTCCTGCCGAATGCCAATCAAAAGCGCCCTCGTTCTTTCCATTTTTAGTTACAATGACAACACCTAAAATCAAAAATTGGTGCACTTAAATATGTGTAATTTACAGGTGTGCCAAATTTAACATGGCTGAATCTACTTGATCTGCGCATACGATTTAACGCAGCGTCAACTCAAGCACGTCACAGTACCCTTGGCTGCCGTCACAATTGAAAACAATAACGTCACAATTAAAATGACGTCAAATTGCGCTAGAATGTTTCGCTGATCTTGCATACCTGGAAGCTCTATAGACTGTGCATATTGAAAGCTGGCTCATTCTGGCATTTCTATTATTTACATCAGGGTTTTTTAAAATTGATACTAAGTAATCACTTGTAGAAAATAATTTATTTTGAGGTATCAATATTTAGGTACAGGTTCATTAATTTTATCTTGTTTTAATTCAATTAGTGAGTTAGAAAAAAACAAAGAAACACACAACCAAATTTAAAAGTACAATGTATACGATTTTAGTCTTTCTCCTTGAGCATGTTGAATAGCTTATACACATCCCTTTTTACTGCGGACTTAATTATGCATGGATTAACTTGTGTTTGAAAAAGTCTCTGAATCATTTGAATGCAACCACCAAAATATTCTTTTTTTCTGTATAATACACAATGCTAGTAAATTTCGTATTTTTGTCGCCTTTTTACTCCCCCCCCCCCTTTCACCGTTTTTTCCACGTAAAACAACGTTGTGTGTTAAAAATTAAAGCATGGAGAAAAAAAATATTTCGTAATGTAAGATTTATTCAATTTTTAGAAACTAATGTCACAGGGTGACTATTACTTGGTTTTTATTTTATTTAAAATATTCAGTTCATTTAAGATTAGTACAGCTAGCCATGCACTTATCATAGTAAATAAGATAGCTGTAGTAAATTCATTCATTCATTCATATCTGGGCATTCATTGTCATCGTGTTCGTATTGTATTCTGGTTTGTACGGTGTTCACTGTCACGTGAGTATTTGGTTGTCACGTGATTGTTTTGTGGTCTACTATTATCACACCCTATTACCGGCAACTGTGGCAACCGATGCAACTGTGACAACAGACAGCAAAGTTCTTTATCGCTATGACAGAGACATAATTGATATCATAATTTTGACTATTCATAACACTCATTTACTTTCGTTTGGTGGTTTCCCCTTTTGATATAACCTTAAACTATTTTTCTGTTGAATATTAAACAATGATTTCTTATTGAAACAAAATAAACACAGAATAAAGTTAAATTTCAATCGTTATTCAAGAAAAATTGGTCAAACTCAGCTTATAAAACAAGAGGCCCATGGGCCACATCGCTCACCTGAGAAGCTTTGACAATTCTTTTCTTTACCGGATTTCCCCTTTGTTATACATAATGCATCCCCACCCTACCCCACTGATCATAATTTAGACATTTTGAAATCTATACTACCCCATGATCCTTCCATGGGCACATATGTTTCAGCTTTTTTTGCCCAGTGGTTCCTGAGAAGAAGATTTTCAAAGATTTTTCCTATATATTTCTATGTAAAACTTTGATTCCCTATAATGGCCCCGCCCTTCCCCTGGGGGTCATGATTCCTAAAATTAAGAATTTACACTACCCCAGAATGCTTCCACATAAGCTTCACTTTTTCTGGCCCAGTGGTTCTTGAGAAGATTTTCAAAGATTTTTTCTATATTTTTCTATATAAAACTTTGATTCCCCATTGTGGCCCCGCCCTTCCCCCGGGGGTCATTATTTGAACAATTTAGAATCTACACTACTCCAAGATCTTTCCACATAAGTTTCAGCTTTTCTGGCCTAACGGTACTTGACAGAAAGATTTTTAATGTTTTGTTCCTATATATTTCTATATAAAACTTTGATACCCCATTGTGGCCTGCCCTTCCCCCGGGGGTCATGATTTGAACAATTTAGAATCTACACTACCCCGGGATGCTTCCACATAAGTTTCAGCTTTTCTTTCCCAGTGGTTCTTGAGAAGAAGTTATTTAAAGACTTTTCCTATACAGTAAAACTCGTTTAGTACGAACACAGATATAGCAAAGTCACGGATATAGCGAAGTTTTTCTGGGTCCCCGTCAATACTTTAACAAAACTTTGAAAAATTTTACGGTTATAACAAACTCTGATATAACGAATTTACGGATATAGCAAACTGATTTTGAGTCCCGTTGGGTTAAATATA